GGATTCAAAACGGCTTTTTAGCTAATTGAGGAAGACACGTCCTCCCTCCACCTCAACTGACTAACTAATTATGTCTTCAGCTATTTCGCACGTACTGGCCCGCTCAATTGAAAAGGCACGATAAGGTCGGGCTGATGTTTGAAAAATTGTCTTCTCTTGAGTCACTGTCAATGAAGGAGAGTTAAGAGGCTCCTAAAATATTATTTTCAACGTTCAAACTCTTCGTCGAGTGAAGTGAGTATTCCTCCATTTTTGTTCTTTAACGGTTGTTTTTGTGCGAACTTTTTACACGAAAGATTTCATGTAATATCAAAGAGGGTTCTCATCTCACTGCGTGCGGTTGCATTTTCTGCTTCACTTACTAGGTTGTTGAAAAAGACACGCTTCTCGTTTGTAACTTGTCTTTTGAGTTAGATAATTAGATTTTGTAGTTGCTATTGAAGATGTATAGTACTATCAGGGTTCGTTTTAGCATCAAGCTTCATTTTGTCGCCTTTCATCTACTGTTTTCCACTCTTTGCCTTCCTTTTTTGGGAATCCAATGACCTCCACAGAGAATCGACGTCTCTAGTCGATTCTGTATTTAGCTTGGGAGTATTATACTTTATGGCAAAGTTAATGCGAAAAGAAATCTTGTATTTGGTGCAGATCTCCAACAATAGACTGCCATTTTCGGTGCGATCGCTGAGGCTATGGATACCCATAATATGTTCCATTCCGCTGTTGTCATTACCGATACGCGTATTGAAATTTCCCATTACGACTTGAAGATTATTTCGGTCGACTTTATCTAACATGCTGTTAAGCAAATCACAAAAGTTTTCTTTGAGCTGTAAATCAATTACTTCTGTAGCAACGTAACACTCTACGATCGTGATATTGCCAATGTTTGCATTGATTCATGCAGTTAATACTCTCTCTGATACGGCTCTTATCTTATTACTCTCTCTGAAACTCTCCACCTAGAGTTTCGGATTTTTCTGTTAATAAAGAGAGCTGCGCCGTAGATGTATGTATCGTTCGCCGTACCTGAATAGAGTATGTAATGTCAAAGTGAAGTCGATAATTCACAGCTGCAGTTCCAGCCTATAATGGAAAACTTTAATCGTTCTGCTTCCGCAGTAAGTTGGGCCAGTTTACCAAAGTGGTAAAGATAGTTATTCAGGTACTTACTCAATCTTGCCATTTGACTTCAGATAAGCGGTGTGTTGATACACGATGTGTTGATACGCGTGATAAAGCCCATAGTTCCTCATGATAAGGTATAAATTTTTTTTTACAAAATTTTTCTACTTTGATGCATGAAAAAAAATATTTTGCTTTGTGCAGTACCTCTTTTATATCTAGTTGTATTCTGAATTTATATTATTACACTGTTATAAATCAAATTGTTTTTTATATCTAGTATTTTAAATTCATATTATTACACTATGATAAATTAAGTTGTTATATATCTAGTCGTATTTTAAATTTATATTATTTTACTGTATAAATTAACTAAATTTTTATTTTTTAAATCTTGTGTTGTGCCCTGGTATACCCTGAGTATACCTCTTGTCCTGGAAAAGGTCGGAAAAGATCATTACAGTAAATAACTAACATCCAAAACTATTATAACGTCAGGCTAATGGCGGTGAAAGATTAACTAAAAAACAAGTACAGATGCAACTTAACAAATTTTTACTAGGCTAAAAAAAATCGTCATTCCAGATGTTGTAAAATCGTAATATAAAAAAATAGCTCTCCACAGGAAGAACTACCTATATGTAAATAATCGTGTCTAAAATATCTTTTAATTAATAAAAAATTTTAAAATGTCACCAACATTATTTGATAGAATTATATTGGTGACATATTAAGTTTAAAATTAAATATAGAAAAAAATCATTTTGATATTCGTAACTTGGCCAATTAATGTATGACTCTCAACTCAAAACATTCTGCAGACCAAAAAAATAAAAAAAAAGAAACCAGCAAAAGAGTAGTACCAATATTTTTTAAACAAATAATATTGTTAAGGCAAAAATTCAATATTTTACAGGCCACCAGTCTTAATGATACCCTTATTTATATAACATATAGAGTTATTGTCATAAAGTAAATTTAAATCTAGCCAGGTTTATATATAAAAAGTTCAGAAAATAATTGTGTTGAATTAATGAAATTTTATTTTATTTATTAGTGAATTACTAAAATCGTATTTACAATCATTACAAGATCTGAATTAAAAGGTAAGTCAAAAATTGTATTTGTTATGAAGACAACAGCATACGAATATCATTATTGTCAGTAACATCCTAACATGTTTTATCATTTGGATCAATAAGTTTGCTATTTGCATTAAATGATAGTAAGGACGTACACAATCAAAGTCACCAAATTGCAAAACCTTCAAGATTGGCCTCTTTGACCAGTCAAAACCATTTTTTTCATGTTCAGCTTTTTGTACTACATCATTTATCGGCAGCTCAGTGGAATGAACTACCCAACTAAAGGCAGGTTTACATTTCTGTGCACTTTATAACTTTGGCTGCCAAAGTGAATCAAGTTGTTTTACCTTCTCAATATATAAATTGTTTACAAACAATGTTGAATACAAACAAATTATTCAAATGTCAAAAATTACCAAAACAGTATTGCCAAATCAACGAAAAGAAATTCCAGATTTTTTGGAAACAGCCACTATAATAAAATTTTATCAAATAAATGTTTATAATATTAAATAAAAGAGCCACTGTATGTTATGCAGGAATTATCCTGAAATATGGTAGTTATGAATGTCATCGACTATATGTAGTAGTCGCCCTAGAGATACACATAATTGATGGCAATTCCGATAATAAGTAATTAAAAATCCAAACGAGTGTCAAAAACTAAAAGCTTACCACTAAATGCAATATGTGACAACATAGCTACTATTAACGATGTTTAACATATAATTTCTCAGATGACCTAGCGGTTCCATATATATCTTGTGATCAAAAAAGAACATTAATTTTTAATTTTTGAATTTCCGCGTTTAACCAATCGGTAAATTTTTTTTACTTTTACGCTGGCAACACACAATTTTTCACACATCGGCACACGAAAATTTTTCGACTTTTTGTATAAAAGCCAAACAGAAACTAATCGTACGATATGCATTAAACTTTGACAGAATGTGTATAATAGTGTTTCCAGCGTGAAAATAAAAAAAAATTTACCGATTGGATTAGATTAGATTATGCTGGCAGGCCAAAAAGGCCACGCGTTACCAGATCAGAATTTTGTTTTAGCGATTGTATGCATCACTTAGGATGCGCGTTTCATTAGCAAAATTTATTAAGATTCCAACAGAGACCTCAGGAATGTACTCCAGTCCTGCAAAACTGAAAGCCCTCAAGTATTTTTGTCGAGTTCTCGAGAGAGCCGGGAAATTAGACATCAGATGCTCTAGAGTTTCCTTTGCATCCGGCTCATTGCATTTCCTGCAAGCATCGTTGTGAATTAGGTTTAGTTTTCGGGCATGTGATGCAACCAAACAGTGACCTGTCAACACACCAATTAATGTTCTACAGTTCCTTCGGTTAAACGATATAACATTCTTGGTGTACTTTTCTTCGTATATGTGTCTACACATAATTCTAGCTGTTCTACAGGTGGTTAAGTTTCACCACCTTACCTTTGCTCTCCTTATCATGTGCTCGTCCAGAAGTTTATGTATTTGTTTCAGAGGTCTGAGTACTTCGCTAGTTTGTTTCTCTGAAAGTTTTGCGCCATTCTTAGCAATAGCATCAACTGTCTCATTTCAAAAATAGGACTCTCGTTCTTTTTTGAACAAAAAATATAGCTAAATGATCCACTTTGTCGTAGAATATTTTACCCAATTGTTTTTTTAATTAATTGATATATAATTAAAAGCAAATGAAATTAGATATTAACAATAAAATTTGTTTTTGTAACCTTTGGCTTTAAAAATCATGGTTTATAAGCGACAGACTTTAACATGTCAAAACAAAGTCAACCAAATTTTTGTGGCAATATTTCTGTATTAATTTTATACCAAGTCAAATTACAAAGTTGGATAAATAATTAAAACACAAAATATATATACAATAACAGCAAGCATTATAATTTTTTTTAATAATTACCAATTCTGGCACTTCGATTCCTTAATTGCAAAAAAAGTGTTGCTTACACGAAGAACTCATTTCTCACCACAGTTCACACTTTATTGTAAAATACTATTGATCAAGTGCTAGTGAGTTGTGTTGAAATTGTAATTAAGATGTGCTGAATGTTATTTGACAGCTCCTAGTGAAAAAAATTTTTATTTTGTACTGAATAAATTCAATTATTTAATATAAGTAAATTATATAACATATTATAGAGGTTTTTTCGAACAGTAGTGAACACTACAACAACAAAAATTTATTTTTATATTATTTTAATTAATTGAATTTTTGGCTGACCATACAACATAATTCTTGTATTTAATTATTCGTAAATAATTATTTTTGAGACTGCAAGGACACGTAACATATTATATTAATTAATATGCAATTTTATAATAATATGAATAATTAACATTTTTATTTTATAATTTTTTTACAGTTCTTATAATGTAAAGTTTCACAGTTTTCCTGTCGTCGGAAAATTCTATATTGATCTTCGAGTAAAAATTTTTGCTCCCCTCTGCAAAAAGGTAAAAATTTTCTATTTTTAAAATATGTAAAAAATAATAATACAATATTATATTTAACCTGTTTTTTTAAAAACTCACAGTCAAATTCACGATTATAAAATTTAACAAAAGTATATACTTCTTGACAGAAAAACTTTACTCCCAGTTGACGAATAGCAAAAACGAAATGTAAACAAAGTTCTGTGTCAGTGGAATAGACCCACTAAGCATGCTATAAATTTTTATCAAATTCAATAACATTTTTAAAACTACAAAAATTGATAATAAAATATTTATTTAATAAAAAATGATAAAGGTTCATTTTTAATTTTAAAACTTGTTGTGAACATTAACAAGTGTAGAAACCCATTCAGACCGCGAACAGAATCTTAATTTCGTTCTATATTTTGCTTATTTAGGTCGTTCGGATATTCTTTGCTGTAAAACATTGAAAAGTTTGACTATTGATGGGCTGCTAAGTTTGATGTAGTGTTTTGCGTCATCTATTAAAACACATATGTTGTTTCTGTACGAAGAAATTTGCTTAAAATTTGTTTTTTAAGATTGAAGACCAATAATAAGTAAAAAAGTCAAAATAAATAATGACTAATAGTGGTAATTTTGGATTGTCGTCTGACTCAGCACAAACTTTGCAGTTGCCTCCATTGCGTTCCTTGGATGATTTTGTGTTAGGTTCGGCACGATTTCAGCTACCTAATCTCCAAGATTTAGAGAAATGGGGGAATCGAGTTGTAAAAAATCTTCTTTATTATCAAACTAATTACTTTTTAATGTTTGTAACGATATATGGTATAATTTTAATATGTAATCCTCTAAAAATATTTTCTGGTCTTATGGTACAAATTGTGACAATTGCTATATATATAAACTTTTTTCGGGTATGTTCTATATCTAAGTTGAATTTTGCGAGCCGGTATGCACCCGTAAAGGCAAATCCGCAATTAAAGTGGTATTTCATGGCGATCGGATTGATTTGTGGTTATCTTGTATTGTATTGGCTTGAGGCGATTTTGGTATCGATGTTTGCCTTCTTTTTTCCTTTCTCAAGTAAGTTAACATGATTATATTGATCTATTAACTGTTGAGACTTTTTCAGTAATTTTTTTACACTCTTCGTTACGGTTGCGGAATATTAAAAACAAAGTGGTTAACACAATGGAAAGTTTAAACATTAACACATCAACGCCCATGGGAATATTTCTTGACACTTTTAATATTAAAGCAGAAAGCTTCTTAAGTTAGATTTTAAACCATCTGTATAAATATATGTTGAACTATAGTTATTTAATTTAATATATAATAAAATATTAAAATTCTTAAATTTTTATTTATCTTACGAGTAAGAGCTTAAAAACCGGCTCATAGTGATGAGACAACTTACATTCAACTTACATATATTTTACTTTTCTTATAATTATTAGAAATATAGTACAATTATATGCAAGGAAATTATATATAAATAGACGAACTTTAGGTTGAATTGTTAAACTGTATTTTCAAAGACTGTAGGTATAAATTTTGGAATTCATCTAATTTATATAAAGATTTAATTTACTTTGGTTAGTTGTGTGAACCATCTGGTCATGTTACAACATATAAATAAAAAAATTTAAATATGCGTCGAACTTCGCCACTGCAACATGTAGAGCATTTGTTCAATAAGTTCATGCGCAGAATTTTAAATAGAGCTTTGGCTGCCGTTAGAGGTCGCTGAACACATTGTAAATGGTGTTCATATGCAGTTGAAACAAACATTGTCAGAAGAATTTTCTTTTCTTTTTACCATTACAAAATATTAGGTTTTTTGTGAACTTTTGTTTTAGTTTTTGTCTGTAAGTGTAAGATCTTTGCTTATCTATAGATATATTGCATAAAAGAGTGCGTAATACAAATTTATTTATCGTAAATATAAATTTAAACAATACATATCTTCACGAGATCTAATCGATGGTGTTTTCGTCATGTCATAGTATTGATATTGTATTGACGCGTATTTCACGATATTGTATACCATGAATGCAGACTTGTATACTTAATGATTATATAGCATTATTTATCAAAAATGTGTCTGCGGATAAATGGGTCGAAACATAATCTTCAACGTGTTTTCCTCATAATTTTCTAAATGCGGTTGTGTAATATTAAATAGGTACGTACTTTGCATGTATTTTTTCATCCTTCTTTCCGGAGCTTCTTTAACTTAACCTCAAAATATATATGTATAAATATACCATCCCCAGCTATCCACTTTGTAAGAGGTCCTTACCAAAATACATTTCGAATGAAAGAAATTTATTATATAAAATTATGATAAATTATAGAATATTGGCAATTTTTAGCATGGATTTTTGGATTTCAAAATTGACAAATACGTAAGTTGGTGAAAATACTTTAATTAAATATGAATATGACAAAAAAAAAACTTTTTAAGGTACTTGTGCTTTATATGGTTCCAGACAATTTTCTGTTATATAAATAACTGAAGCAAAGTGTAATTTCCATACTGAAAGATGTAGTACGGTTTGTTATGTCAATGCTTTTAGAGAACATACATACATGTGTGTAGGATTTATTTTTGTGTGGTAACAAATCATCCACAAGTTTTCTTCGTATTCCAAATTTAAAAATACTTATTTGTTTTCACAATGTGTTGAATTAAAAGGAAAATATTTAGCAATTTTGGTGCAACATAGCAGTTGGTATTTATTAATATTCCTGACTGTCTTTTCGTAATTAATTTAGAGTTTATATTTCAGTGCAATTTAACAAAGAATTACAAGCATGTGGAACTGCATTTTTACACTTAATTTATAAGCGCACTGCATATGAAGTACAATAATTTATCGGAACTTTCGTTTATGCTAAACTTATCCGCATTTCTTTTATGTACAAATACGTAACAATAACGAAGATGCGAATAAATAGTTGTGAAATGTCTTCCTAAGAAGTCAAAACTTAAACATCATAAAACCGTTAAATATTTATAAGAAAAGGTGAGTACAAATAAAATCTGCTGATTAGTTAAGAAAAATTTTACGTCTAAAAACAACTGAAAACAATTTCTAAAATACTAAAAATCATTAAGTTTTAAAATACTTTTTTGGCACCTTCTGCCATTTTTTGATTAGAATTGTTATTCTTTATATTATCTTTGAATAACTAAAGCAATGGTTCGCTTCAGACATTTGAAGATAGCTATGCACAGATAACATCAAAACATAACATCATAAGAGAATGTAAGAATTTAAGATCTCTCAATCTCAATACTTTCTTTTTTGAATAGTTCACTTCCAAGAGTCAAATCACAGTCACCATTTTGAAACTTTCTGGTTATTGACTAAATTTAGAAGAAAGTTTTTCTATTCAGCATAGTTTTTTTGCTGTGTGTGTTGAGATGGCGATTCCTTTTGCATAGTCAACAGTCGGTTCTTTTATTTAAAAGTCGGATACTGCTTTTTTGCAGTTCCTTATACACTGTACAAACTTTCTAGTCGGCTGGGCAATTTGGTTCTCAATATACGCACTTGCGGTCATCACCTCTCTAGTTTTATGGATACAACTTCAAGTATGGAGATTCCCTGCGTATTTTACGCATCTTGGAATGTGATAATAACTTTTCTGTGTGTTCTTATTGGTTAAAATTATGTGCGTTTGGGGATGTTATATTTCTTTTCCATCAGAGTCAATACTGAATATTCTTATGTTAGTTTTTGGTTAGACTTTAATACTTTCACCATTATGAAATTTAATTTAGAAATCATTGCCTGTTAATTGAATTAGGCGGTTCAATAATGGTATGATATTATTTACTCGCTTGATTTATTGGTAAGGATTATAGAGTAGTTGTATTGTATTTATATCCAATTTATCCGATTCATTTGAACTACTGTAACGATATACATATGAATTATTATTATTCGTTATAGCATTACCAAGCAATTCTAGTAGTTGTTATTGTAACCAAACGCCGACTTCAATTTTTTTGTCTGGAATGGGTCTGGACCACTTACTGGAATCAAGATTCATGATTCTCAATTGAATGAGTTGTGTACTATTAATTAATTTATTTACTCTTGGCGATAGGAATTTTATTTCGCTTTACATTATTGTATTTTTTAATTTTTTTTATATGTACTTATACATACAGTAAACAAAAAGTGTGTTCATCCACAAAATTTTTCTTAAATTTCGCATAACTTATTTAATTTTTTACTCAAATTGATTTTTGTTTTCTAATTTATTTTAAACAAAGAAACAATAATGAAGTTCAAGCATAAAAAATTAACGTTTTTTAAAATATCCTTGCTGGAAATCGTCTGTTGGCGAATCTTCTTTTTCAAATAATCCCACAGATGTTCTACGGGATTAAGTTCTGGTAATTCTGGTGGCGTCTCATGTTGCATGGGAGCGTGGTATAGCAGCCAGTCCTTTACGATCCCTGCTGTATGTTTAGGGTCATTATCCTGCTGAAACAAGAAGGTTGCCTCAAGCGCTAACATTCTAACATTTTCTTTCAAATTTGTTTTTAGTATATTTAAATACCCATATTTGTCCATTTTATCTTGTACAAATTCAAGTTTGCCAGCACCATTGCTGTACACCCCCAAACCATTACGCCTCCACCACCATTGAAATTACATAATATAATTTTCTCCACACAAGATTTCTACCTCTGATTTCAAATATGCAGAATTTACTCTCATCAGAGAAAATAACTCTAGCGTTGATATGTGAATACAATATTGGATATTGTTGCGAGATAAAAGTACACGGTACACCCATAATAACGCTGTGATTATATGCAATACATTGCGAAGGCATCAACGCACACAACTACTTCTCATATCAATTTCTTCAAATACACTTCAACAACTGTTCGGTTTGACAATATGCTCTTAATGTTTACTTTTTGTTCACATACTAAACAATGTTGACTCAGTTCTAAACAAAAACTACAAATTGTGTTGTTCTTTAAATAAGAGTACTCAATACGAATATAAGATTTGTCTCATTCTGAGCAAAATTTGAAATGTTGGTTATAGTTTCTAACTCTATATTACATGTACCATAGTTTTATTTTGTGGGACTTTGCCATTTTTGTAACTATATTTTGATGACATATTTTTTTTGACATATCAGAATATTGATCTTTAGGACATTAGATAACACAATCCGTTGCAGCAGCTATAAGCTTTACCAACTAGTCATAGTAAGCATTTCTTCTTCCACACTAGTACCATTAAAACAAAATCGCGTACTTAGCCATTATTTTTCATTAAAATAATCATTTGTCGGTGAAGTCTTTGAATGTCTTTTCCCTTATCTTACCATCAAGAAGCTTATGCAGATCTTCTTTGTAAAATCATTCTAAAATGCATGTAGCTTTTGCTGAATCTTGTTTGTTATTATGTGCGTCAAAACGTTATTCGAGCTACAATTCATTAGTGCTACGCTTGTCTACAAATGCTGTTATATATATTTTGTGGCCTAATAATGAAAATTTGAATATTTATCATCAAAAATTGTTTCATTGTGTTTCAAAGTATTCTCCAGCCTGATTTATACACTTTTGCATGCGCTCAAACCAGTCCGATTGAGACACCTCCAAAATATGGTTTTTGAACGCTTCAACAGCATCTTCTGGCGACGAAAATCGTTGACCACGCATTTTTTTCGGGAATAAAAAGAAGTCATTGGGTGCCAAGTCAGGGCTGTACGGCGGATGGCCCATCAATTCGACGTTGTGGCTGTTCAAAAAGGCTCAAAAAGTTGTCATGGTGAACAATGATTTGTCTTCGCTTGTTCGTTTTTTGAATTTCTCCGAAGACTTCAGGCAAACAAATTGTGGTGTACCACTCAGAAGTGCCCGTCCTTCGTTGCTCAAACGGAACAGTCGCAGTCACCACATGACCAGTTTTGCAGAAGAAACAGGCGACCATTTGCTTCGAAGTGCTTCTTCCACGAACAACTTCGTTGGATTTGACTCGTTTTCGAAAACCCACACGGTCGATTGTTGTTTTGTTTTGAGCTCATATGCATAGATCCATAATTTGCACCTATGATGATCTTATAAACGTCTTTTGATGCGCCGCGAACGTATTTTTTCAACATTTCTTTGCATCAATCGACACGAGCCTTTTTTTGAGCGATTGTCAAATTGTACCGGATCCAATGAGAACAAACTTTTTTTACGGGCAGGTGTTCATGCAATATCGAATGTATGCTGGTGGGACAAATGCCCAAGGACGCCTCTATCTCACGGTATGTCACATGACGATCTTGCATTATCAGTTCACGCACGGCATCAATGTTCTCTGACACAACAGCCGTTTTTGGACGACCTTTCCGGAATTCGTCGATGAGCGAGCGTTGGCCACGATTGAATTCATTAAACCAGTTCTTCACAGTGCTATAGAATGCTGCTTCATCGCTATACAAAGATTTAAATTCATCAATGCATTTTTGTCGTGATAATCCACGTCGAAAGTTGTGAAAAACGATCTTACTAAAATGTACACGTGTTCATTTCATTTTTTGGGCGAAAAAATTTTTTCAAATCTCTGTAAATAAAACAATTCACTATTAAATGACAACACATTCTGATTGATGTTATGCTAAAAAATGTCAACCTTTCTAATGAAAATGTCAGATTGTACCTGGCAACACTTAGTGTTGCCTAGGCCAGAAATATATACAGCAGTCCTCGTATTCTGACTTAACAATATGCGCGAAAACTGGAATTATTGTTGGCTGTTGTGTCTTGCCGCTATTTGGCACCAAATTTTTCCAAATTCGCTTATTATACTAATAATGGGCAATGCTAGCATATGTTGTAAAACATCTTGAATGTGGTAGACTGGTTTGATCGATGTTGTTTGAAGTTGTTACTTGCCACCACTTACCTTTAAACCGGATCGTTATTATCTTTTAACCAACATTTAATTTTTAAAGCAAATTTTAAAAATTTATATTACTCAACTTTTTTATTTTCATATATCTAACGTTTATAGTCCTAAAAATATCAAATTTTTACTTACTATTAGAGTCATTGCATATTGAAAAAAAAAAAATAATCCTTACCCATATGTAATAACCGAGGCATATAATCCTTATCTTCACTTTTTTGTTACTGGTGTCAGTCAAAATTAAAGACAAAAACCTTAATATTGAATTCTTTGTTCATTTGGAAGTCAGTAAGTTACGTCACAAAACTTGGTTTCAGTTTTTTCCATGTTGTATAATTTAAAATATGTGTTAATATCATTCGTAAGCATCACATGAGTGTGAATAGCAGTGCTTTTGATTGCTGTTAGTTTTTATGTAATTTTAATTAATTTTATTTACAGTTTAATTTATTTTGTTTTGTTACTGAGTGATAACTCTTTTTAAACAAGAAACTGAGGATATAAATGAATTGTGTCACATGGACCACTGAAGTATAAACACATCGATGTTATGTTTAAGACTAATTGTCATGTTTTTATTGTGTATTATTATTTCATTTTACAGAGTTGTCATGACATCCCACTTTTTTTGAAAGAAACAAAAAAAACAATTAATATTCTAAATGGGAATGCCTTCTTAAAAAAACTTTAACTTTGATTTGAAAGGAAAAAAAATTAAAAAAAACTATTATTATCTTAACAAAAAACTAGAAATAGAAATAGAAATAAACGGGGTGCAAGCTCCCAATGGAGCAGAGCACTGCGACCAGATTGATCTTTTGTGCTACAACTGACCCTAACCGAACAGAAGACATTTCGCTTTTCGAATGAAAGCCAGAATGTTGTCCGTTGAGAACCTCCTAATGTCAGAAGGAGAGAGCAGCCCTCCTCTCAGTGACCTCCTCCTTGCCCAGATCAAGGCTGGGCAGTCACAGAGAATGTGACTGGTAGTCTCGTCTGCTTCTAAGCAGAGTCGACAATCTGTCTTCTCGGACAGAACCATATTATTAAGGTGATAACGCAGTCCATGGTGACCCGTTAAATATCCC